ATTCTATCTTATTTTCGAAAATTCTCATAAAGGTTCCTTTTCTCTAGAAAATTCCGAAGAGAAATGGATAGAGAAGGGGAGAGAGTTGGGGATGAAGAGATTAAGAGACAGAGAGGGAGGAGAAACTTGGTTTTGAAGCTTTTTGCAAGAAAAAGATAGGAAGAAAGGAAGTATTGGGGACGGAACCAAAGAGGAGAAAAAGTAAAGAACTTTCTAGAAGAGGTAGAAGTGTGTGTTTGAATTTTTAGGGGAAAAAAAGTTGAATTAATAATAAAATATTAGTAGATATATATATTAAATAATATAATATTTTAATTTGTTATTTTATCCAGTTTTTTAGTCCGACACTGCACCAAACACTTCACTAAGTTAGTCAAGTTTAGTTTAGTCTAAGCCAGTCCAGCTTAGTCCCTGAAGCTAGTCCAGTCCGATATAGTCCGGTGTAACAAACGCACTCTAAATAAATAAAATAAAACTGAAATAATGGAAAAAAATAAAATTCTTCTTATAAAAAGAAATCCAGAATTCTTTACAAGGCTAAAAATAAATAAGTACAATTCTAGCCTCACATCTAATTTATTCTCATCCTATCTACCCTCTTAGATTGTTTAGTTCATAAACCTACATAACAATAGAGGGGTGAGCTTCAACAGTTCAGTAGGGATATAACCTTATCACAGTAAATTGACAATATCAAATTAAGTGTCATGAAATCATATAGCCAAATATCAAATCATTATTGATAATAACGCATGAATGCAATGCAATACTCTTCATCTCTACCCGTTAATTTATATAATAAAATACGCGGACCTGCACGTCCTATACCGTGCATTTTACCTCTACAGTGGTGGTTCGAATGTTCTAATATACAAATTAACCCCCCTGTAACTTAATCATCCAAATTTTCCCTTTTGTTAGTCATCTTGCCAAAACACTTCGTCGCCAATCTCGAATTACCCAAAAGAAACTGTGCATTGCGGGCTCGCATGAGACTTTGTACCTGCTAAGAGTTTGGCTCAACTACACAAAAGATATTTCCAACTACCCTCATTTCTAGAATTCCTTCTTCAACACCAAACTTCCAACTATTCTCACACGAGTGATGCACAAATAATCTCATTTCATATTCCGCATATATCTCCAATGAACAACATTCCAACAACAGTTCACAATCACAACTCTATGAACATTCGAATCAAGCAATGATACACTTATAACCAATTATCATCTAATCTCAATCAGTCAATCAAGATTAACAATAATATAATACTTCACAAAATTTAATAAGATCAATTTCTGTTAAGGTCTGCCGTATTTCCCCTACCTGGATTCCAAAGTATTGCTCTAGGTTATTAACACAAGAATCCACCACCTTGATAAAGTCCTATTCACATGCATAAGCAAATCACTAAATGCACAACTACATCTCTAATTCTATTTGAATAATTACTTGTGACTACTAATTCAACACAAACATATTCAAATACTTCTAAGAAATAAATAAGATGTGTCTGTATAGTTGATAAAGGATCAGTACATCAAAATACTGCTTTATCCGAACTAGATATATGTAGCTAATATAATCATTCCAACTCTAAACATAAGGTGGTTTATTAATATAGTAGACATATACGCAAATAACTTGAAAACGTTAACCATAAGTTTAGTTCTAACTCCAATACATATATGCATATATAGTCTTTCTGATGAAAATATGGATAGTGGAATGTATATATTACCAATTGCAACTTCAACCAGATGCTTTACTTGAAAGATGCATATATAGTATAGATATAAAACCAGTTGCATATATATTTTCCTTTAAAATCGAAACATGCTTTCTTTTGAAATTAATCAATTCATAAACTGATGAGCTGATGTCATATTTATACAACTGTTTGCACAACAGCTCTTCTAATAAAATATGCAGTAGAAATGGTATCCATATAAGCATAACACTCTTTTGCATTCAACCAACAACTTTTATATATAGCAGATTAAAGAAAGCATATGCATAAAACTAGCCCTAAATATTAGTGGCTATATATATAAGGAATAAATTTACTCCACTGCAACAATCCATCATATCATACAAAATCCATGTTATGATCTGGACTAGTGGACAAAACACACAATGAATCACAACATAAGAAGAGACCAACCACGACTTTAGTAAATTGGTAGTTATTCGAATTCGAATTGAACATCATACCTATTTCAGACACCGAATACTCCTTCGGTAAAGTAGCATACGAGAACAAGCAGTGGCTTACTGATTATACAACACCTCCCTCTCTTGCATTTTCATCTGTCCCTAAGAGTTGCCTTCTCAATACCACAGCCTCATAAACAACTTAGCACTTTGTATTTTCCAGCAAATTAATCTCTCCCTCTGTGCTTCTACATCTTTCTCTGTAAACATTCCCTCTTTTATCCAGTTATCACTTCTCTCTCGCTCTCGCAGACCGCACCGCTCTATAGCCCTGGGTTTCTACTTATAGTCATACAAAGTCGGCAGATTCTTAGATAGGAATGAACTAAAAGCCCTTTAAGTGGCTATGGTTTTGGGTCCAATTGGAATAGAACAAAACATGCAGCTTAATAAAATAATGTAAAAGGAAAAGAAAATGAATAATATGAATATATAGTTTAAATACTACCGTAATGGTGTTCTGAACTCATTTGGTTCAAAATAATAGTAAATTAGAGTATAGAAAAATGAAATAAAGGAATTAACGATTAAATAAGAAGTAATACAAAACTTTATGAAATTAATAAGCATACACAACACATAATTATATATGATTATTTTTGAAAATACGGGTCCTTATAGTGAATGTGCACAACATGTGCAGTCAAAGCTTCAATCACATAAATGTCTGATATATTTTTTTTGGGTTATTGATATTCAAAGTAATTTTGCTCTCCTTAACTCTGCATGCGTGTGTGTGAGTGTGGGCGCGCTGAGTATGAAAGGATTTGAGGTTATAGAGGCAGAGATCTAGAAAGAAAGAGGAATGTTAAACGGGGTTGTGGGCGTGCCAAGCGTTGAAAGATTTAAGGGTAAATTGGAAATTCAATGTTTGGGTCATTTTAATTGGACTGATTCAATATTGGGCTTTGTCATAACCATTAAATAAAGTTATTATATGATTTTTAATTAAAATTCAAAGTTTTTAAGCTCATATCATTAGTTTTCAGGCGTAGTTAATAGAAGCCTAAATAATAAAGTAACAAGTCCGATTTTGCTCACCTCCTCAAAGTAATCGCTACCCGCTTTAGAATCTTGCCATGTGTATGAAAAAGCTAACTATGGTTACTATTTCATTTAATTAGTTATTGTGAGAAAGAGAAAAATGATTTACTAATTAAGAAAATAACTTACCTTTTAATCTTTTCTTAATATGGTAAAATTGATTGATATTTTAATAGTCAAATATCCCTTACATATCTCCTCCATCATACGTTCGAAAAGAATAATCTTGCAGTTCCATATCATGACTTTAATTATATACGTCATATCAGGACTAGCTCCAATCCCAACATTAAAGTACTGGAAAAACTCATTTAAGCAATCAATATCTCTAATATTCTTTATCACAATAGATTTATAGCTTAATAATTAAAATTATGTTATTCGTTCATGTATGGTGTCAACCTTAGTTTCATTCTTACAAATATTGCTTTTATTAAGGGAATAAAATTCACTTTGAACTTTGTTACTTTCTGCTTATTTAAAATCGTGTTGGATGCACATAATAGCAAAATTTTGGAAATCATTAAGATTATTTTTGTATATGGTTATGCAATTTTAATAGTATTATTCTTAGGCTAATGTTTCGTATGTTCTCGTGGTCCATGCTGCAATTTAATTTTTTTTTTCCTCAAAATGGAATAAAAAATATTTGGAATCCTGAATCAAATGATTCATCTCTTTAGGAAAAAAAACATAGAAAAGAGAGGGCCAACTCTATGTTTTGATGAGAAACTCTTAACATATCAAGTAAGCGAGGAACACGAGACTCAATTATTAGAAGGGAAAAAAAAAGCACTAAAAATGCCAGCAAACCTAAGCACTACAAGGTTACCAAATTATACATGCACTACAAAGACACTAGTCAATTCAAAGATCTTTCAAATGCATTGTATCTCGCCATTTTCAAGTTTCCCTTTCTAATCCTTGTAGTGCATTCCTAGAGAGTATAGTCAAGTTTTAAGAAATTTTAAGGCCCTTCATCCAAACATAGTAATGATATTCTTATCATATATTTATACCATTTTTCTAATAGATCTAAGATTAACATGCGTTGGTGAGTCCGACCTCTATTAAAGAGATGATACAAATATATGATAAATGTAGCAGTATGCATATAAATACAGCAGCCACACGTAGGCAATTTAGGTCGATGACGTAGAGCCTAGAGCATTTGCATATGTGTCCTACAATTTAATGACATGTTTAGCAGGAGTAGAGGAATTAAGGAATCCTGGAACATAGAAATAAGAGAAGTAAAGAATGAGTATCGGATGAGCAACTCCTCTTCTTAATCTCCATAAAAAAAAAAATTGAAAAAAAAAAAAAACCCTCCACTACTTAATCTCGTTCCTGGATTAGTGTTTTATTACTAGTTCTAATTTTGAGTTCAGACCCACGTACATTTTGATTCCTAACTTATGTGTTAATAAGCATGGAATAATTAGAAATTGAAATAATTTTCATTCTTCTCATTTGCATTCCAAGTAAATAAACATGTCATTAGGGTCAGCAAACGAAAACGCGTTAAGTTGTCTACTCCAATATGTCAAAAAAAGGCATAGATGCTAGTAACGGAAGTTCTTTCAAGAATGCCTCCACAGGAATCCTAGAGCAAATCAGACGAACCCTAAATGATATTGGGAGACTGAATTGATTTAAATGAAGGAGGTTTAAGGTTCTAGACTAAAACCAGTTGATAACAATTTATCGAGGGTTTTGTAATAGCAATCCATCACAAATATTCAGATCAAAATAGAATTGTTTATTTTCTCATTGAAATTATTCAAGTTACATTATACAGCAAAACCAAAGAAACTTGGAACATTACATAAAAAACTGGCTTAAGTCCTTCAAGAAATTTGTAACAGCAGACTTCCCTTCAAAGAAAACACCGAAAGAGGCCGTTCTTCCTTTGGTTGGCGGAAGCCTCTTTGGCATCCACCAACCAAAAAGCATACTGCTTTTCTAAGCCTTCTCTATAACTGTGGCCGCCCATGGTCCTTTTACTTTTACGAAGACGGTTCTTTGGTTTGCTCATTCATCGCAGCAGCATTAAAGCTTCAAGTGCTTGATGGCGGTTTGAACATCCTTATCCCCTCTGCCACTGCAGTTAAGCACGACTTTGGCCCCATCAGGGAGAGTAGGGCACAGCTTCTCTAAGTACGCCAGCGCATGAGAAGTCTCCAGAGCTGGAATTATCCCCTCCAGTCTAGATAATCGTTTAAAAGCTGCATACACGAAGAAAAAAAATTATTCTGTACAAAGGTGAAAAGAAATCCATTTGAACCAAGACAATCGAAAAAGACGGAGACTTCCTTCTACCAGAAATATAGTTAAAATATGAAGAACAAGGGATAATGAGTGAATGGTAGAAGCATTATAAGATTATGTCCTGATGTAACCAAGGACTATGCGTTAAGCTTCGAACGGAAGGCAAAGATAAGTATGGTCAAAGGACTTACGACCACGAGCATCACAAGGACACTGCTACTATGAAACAATGGCAAACATCAAAGCTTATTTGAGGTCTCCACTTCTTTGCAGTGTCAATACATTAAACTTAAGATGGAATGGCAACCAAGGACGAAACACATCAATGCTCGATATGTAAAACATATATTCATCTATAAATAACAACAACATGCATAACAGGAATACTTCCCCACACTGAACACCCAATTAAGAGCAGTCAAATGATAAAATAAATCCAAGGTATACCTTCTAATGCTTCTTCATCAGTAATGCTATAGTATTCAGCCCGTCCCATGTCTTTCAGAAAACTATGCTCCGGACCAACTCCAGGGTAATCCAGGCTAAATGCCACACAAAAACCATACAATTGATAAATTACAAGTCGTACAAAAATTGATAGACAAAAAATCCAATTAATTGTCATACCCTGCACTTATAGAATGAGGCTCAATAATCTGTCCATCATCATCCTGTAACAGGTAACTCATAGCTCCATGCAAGACCCCGACTTCCCCTTTGGTCAAAGTTGCAGCATGCTTCCCACTGTCCAATCCAAAGCCTGCAGCCTCCACCCCAATCATCCGGACATCTTTATCGTCAACAAACTCATGGAAGAGTCCCATGGCATTTGAACCTCCACCAACACATGCTACCAACACATCTGGTTTCCCTCCCCACTTTTCCAGCGCTTGTTTTCTTGTTTCTCTACCAATCACCTTGTGGAAATCCCGAACCATCATAGGGTATGGATGTGGACCAGCAACAGAGCCCAAAATATAGTGAGTTGTCTCTACATTAGTCACCCAGTCCCTTATTGCTTCTGAAGTAGCATCCTTCAATGTGGCTGTCCCAGAATGGACTGGTCTAACCTGTATTTCAAAACAGGAAAAGAAATTGCAGTTCAAAGGATTAATAAGATCAATATATCTGGCTTATGTAAAGATTTACAGTTTACACCTTATCGCAAAATGTTCAGATTCTCAAGAAAACGAATAAACAAATTTAAAAGAACTCGTCATCAGTGTTAAATTCAGTTATTTGTGCTATAAAATGAATATACATTTTCTGTATACAGAGAAGATAAAATTTGTATGATGTTCATGTTCTGATCAGCAACCCTATCTTGCTAAATCACACCAGACAAGATATAATGTGTGATAAATTTCATTACTTGTAAATATGAGAGCTTTAAGGTAAAATATATATGCACAGACAAGATATTAACTACAAACACTACATATTAATAGTATGGAACAGTCCACAGAAGATCGAGAAACATATGCACAATCTGTCGCCTGTCGGTACATTCCAGTTTTGTAAAACACTCAATGTTCGGCTTATAAATGTAGGCTAAATTAAATAATTGAAATTGCATTGCTTAAAAGAAGTTGCAGAATCATGACAAACCTCAGCTCCTAGAAGCCGCATTCTGAAAACGTTGAGGGATTGCCTTTCCATATCTTGGGCACCCATGTAGATGATACACTGCAATCCAAACCGAGCACAAACTGTGGCAGTGGCAACGCCGTGTTGTCCTGCTCCAGTTTCAGCAATAATACGTTTCTTGCCCAATTTCTTAGCAAGCAATGCCTGGGCAACGGCATTGTTGATCTTATGAGCCCCAGTATGGTTAAGATCTTCCCTCTTCAGGTAAACGTGAGGCCCTTCGCCATTGGGGCGTTTGTAGTGCTCAGTCAGCCGCTCCGCAAAGTAGAGTGGAGTCTCCCTGCCAACATAGTCCTTCAAAATTCCATTCAATTCGTTCTGCAATATCATGCATTCTTCGTCAGTAAAAATACTGTATAATTCCCAAAGCATAAATATATCTTCATCCCAATTTTAATACTTAGTGTATGCATCCTACAATATATCGGATTGAAGAAAAAAATGTGAAAGATAAGAAAATCATCAATCACAACAATCTTCAATCTTTGTTAATTAGTCCTAAATTGTTCCTACAGACGCCACACGACAACAAAAAATCGCAAACATTTGAATAAAACAAACCGTAAACAGAATAACAACTGCTACAAATTGAAATTCTCTAACAAATTGGATGCAACATTGCAATGAGAATTTCCAAATCCCAAAAGTTGAACAGAGCCAAGTACTCCACAATCGAGTTTCTCCATCCACAATGCCTTCCCAGTTCGATTCATTCTTGAAAAACATTGCAGAAACTTGATTCAAATAGCTCTATTTCATTCATTCCTCTCACAATTTTTTCTCTCGAAAACATTTCAATGCGAACAAGCGCTTAAATTTACTTCTCCAACTATAACTTACAGAATCGAATTTCGAACTAATTCATACAAAATTCTCAAAAAAACAAAAAACAAAAATTCACATTCATTTATAAAAAGAAAAGAAAAACAGGAACGGAAGAAGCAAACTTGACAGGACCTGAAAGCCTTCGTCATCAGCGAGAGCGTGAAACGCGGCCTCGAGCTCGGTGAGCGCGTGCATTAAGGTCTCGGGGACGTACTTGCCGCCATACTTTCCGAACCGGCCGAACGAATCGGGGCGAGGCAGAACCGGGAAGGCGCCGTTGTCGTTCTTCTCGTCCATCCGAATAGCGGCAGAATCCCGGGTGAGAGTGCAGGAGATGGAAGTAGGGGCAGCGGTGGCGCGGGAGGTAAATTTGTAAAACTTGAAGGGTAGTTGGGTGGAGGAGGAGTAGGGTTTTGCGAGCGGCGGGGCGATTAGGCAGTGGGTTTTGCAAGCAGTGGAGGCGCTACCGGAGGCTGCTGCTGCCATTTATGAGGTTTCGGAAGTGACGGCCACACAATTGAGACAGAGAGAGGCTTCGGTTTTTTTTAATATTTGGAGTACAGTTTTGAGAGAAACGTCCGAGTCTTTTAGTACGATTTTTATACCGCTGGGACAAAAGGTAAAACCCATCTGCAGATTCTCTGCCGAAATTTCTGGAAGGATATCGAAAATTTTGCAAAAATGCTCTGTTTACTATTTATTAGTATTTGCCTACATTGTGTATCAACATATTTTTAAAAAAAATGAGAATGAGAAAGGTAGAGAGGGAGAGAACGTGCGAGATTTTTGTTTTTGATTTTTTTTTTAATTTAAATATTGAAAGTATTTTAACATTACTTGTATATGATATTTCAATAAAAACAGTAAAATTTTGACTTGTGAAATTACATTATTGCCCATTATTTTTTTTTTGTGATAGAAAACTAATTTGTCTTTTCACCCTTCTTTGGTTGACAAAAAAAATTTCATTAATTAGTAGAGAATTGGGGTGTGCTATTCACACACTATTTTTTACTTCACACACAATCTTTTAATTTTAACCGTTCAAATCAAATGAATTGAAGAAAATCAAAAAATAAAATCAATAGAAAGTGTGTGAAAAGTAAAATGAGTGTGTGGATATCACACCTCTTTGTACTATTTTTTGTACTCTCTCTATTAGAGATGAGACTTGCATATGTTGGTAGGTCCTACTTCTATTAGAGTGATAGTAAAAATTAGGGTAAATATTAGTTTACTACCTTTATGTTTTGTGGTTTTCAATATTTAGTATATGAAGTTTTTTTCGTCTCAAAGTCATACCTAAATTGTTAACTTTGGAATAGTCTCATACATCTGTTAGTCAAACTGTTAAGCCTCTCGTTAACTGATGACATGTCACTCATGTGGACAATGATTGGACGTCACGTGTCATTAAAAAATTTTAAAATATTAAATTAATTAATTAATTTTAAAAAATATATATAAATAAATAAATAAAAACTAGAACGTCTTCGTCTTCCCCACCCGACAGCTCTTCATCCCCTTCACCCCCTCTACCCCTTACCCATCGACACCCTTCCCTTCCTTGATACCGACCCTTACCACCAAGCCTTTTCTCCTTCCCCAGAAACCCAACCCTTCCCGTCCCCCAAAATCCCAGGTGCTGTGATGGGGTTTGACGACTGTCCAAATTAGTACAACGGTTGAAGAATGGAGCGAAGGCCATCCCCACCGCCAGCATCGAAGACTGTGGAGGTTCCAGCGGTACCTCGGATCTTCCCCAATTCCTCGATCCTGGAGCTCAGAGTTTGCTTTGTACTCACTTGCCGTGCCAAATTTTCCACCACAAACTTCTCCTCTGCAGCTTAAGTCTTCAAAATCGTAGCTCTGGGTGGTTGGCCCCTCCTTTGTCTGCAACCTCAATTTTTTTTATTTGTTCTATGTAAGCAACCGAAACCCGCTCTCTCTAGAAAAGGAGAGATGTCTCTCATTTCTCACTCATTTTTTAAACCTTCACAGGCAAATGAGAGATGGCTCTTAGTGCTCAAATTTCTCTCAACCCTTCTCTCTAGAACATTAGAAAGGATTCTCATTTCTCCAATCTCACGCCCAGTGCCCAGCATTGCAAACCTTCCTTCTCATAGCAGCTTTGTCTTCCTTTCTAAATGTTGCATCCGTTCGCAACCAAAACCACGCAACATACACACCCCCATGTCTTTCTATTCTAACCCATCATGAATTCGAGCTCAGACTGTCATCACCGTCATTCCTTGAGCAAAGATATGCTCAGAGATTGGAGTTCCATTCATGCAAATCGAAACCCTTTCGCACATGCAATGGTAATCATCTCCCACTCTGTGCAATATACATGTTTCTTAGCTTGCGAAAAATCCCCGAGAGCTAATTTTTTTTTTCCTGTGATTCGCCCCTGTAGAAGTTCACACTGATGTTCTTATGTGTTAGGTACTTGAGATCCGCAAAGAGACTGATGATATACATACATATAGTCCCCAAACTCATAGATCTGCAAATTAAAAGGTATAAACTGCAACTATGTTGACTGATTGAACTGTGATTTGCAAATTAAAAGCTCACACTGAAAGTTCCATTTTTGGCAGAGAAAAGGAAGGGAAAAAGTTTTTGAGTTTTGAAATGCTTTTTAGAGTGAAGGAGGAGATCGCAAGCTCGAGGTCCCAGGCATGGGCTGTCACGCCTCGGCCCCGAAATATTTATTTTCAGGAAATAGTTCCAATGATAGGCCCAATTCACATTTTCCTATTTGATTTATTATACGTTCACACAATTTATAACTAGAATTTAAATATACAAAACATAAGATTTCCTTTTATAATAAAATTCCAAACTCCTTTCTTAGTTCAATTTCTTAATCAAAGCTTTGTCTCATTTATTTAATCTCACTCATTGTATGGTTGCATCTAACGTCTCGTTAGACTGCCTGCGTACCCTAAACAGGGATCAAGCCATTCGTAGTTCACATATACAAAAATTCAAACCAAATCCAAATATATTCATTTAATCCAACATATACCACAATCATATTAATATTTAGGTCTCAAAAGATAATGAGAATAACGAAATTCACATAAAAACACAATGTCGGCTCCCTGGCCGTGCGCTGCCGCACCTGTCACTGCGGGTTGCCGGAAAATTCAATTATTTCTAAAAATTACCAAATTTTACAAGTAAATAGATCTCAGTGAGAGGAACAATTTTTATACCTGTGGCCAAGTCCAATTTGGGCGGGAAACACCTGAAAACTGCCTTGAACCACCAGAAACCCTTGAATTTATGTGTGTTCGATTTAACCTCAAACGAAACCTGACGCCCCCAAACTTGTTTGGGCTTTGTTTCTGAGCTCAAGAGGGTACTAAAGGTGGTGGTGATTGAGCAAAACGTTTCAGATTTGGTGGATCTCCACCTAAGGCCGATGTACCCGCTGTGGATATTTTCCTCAAAATTGAACTCCCCCTCGTTGGTTTAAGTGTAAAAATAGAAGAGGGATCGATTGGTCTTGGAGTATGGGTCGTTTTGGCACCATTGCCGTCATCAAAGGTGCTCGGAAACGAAAAATTTGGCCGTGTCGGGTTGGCGAGCTGAGAGAGGGTCCGATTCTCCCTTTCTTTTCTCCCTCATTTCCCCTCCTTTTCTTTCCTCCCTCATTGGCCAGTTCTTCCCTCCTTTTCTATCTTTTCTCTTCTCTCCTTCTCATCCTAGCCGTCCATTTCTTTCTTCCCTTTTTTTTTCCTTTCATCTCAGCCACACACATGGCATATCACATGGCTCTAGATTTTATGGAGCCTTCCAAAAAAGTTTAAAATTACCAATTTATCCCTAACTTTAAACGTTAAACTTCTTCGTTATAACTCCGTTTCACGAACGGTTTGTGCCCACACGTTCGTGAGATCGAGCTCTATTCAAAAATATAAATTATGATCTCAAATGGTTCATGGATTTTAAATAATAAATTTTCAAACTTCAAACTTCGTACATTATAATAATTTCCGGAATTAAAACTTTAAAAATTTCCCAATTTCTATTTTCATAACCATAAATCGATTTATTTTTTGATCTTCTCCTCATATTCATATATTTAAATTTTCAGGGTATTACATGGGCATTGAGGATCTCCACAAACAAATTGAAGTCTTCGAGGCTTGTGATCGCTTGGAAATACGCTAACTTGTTCACATCGGCCATCTCTGCACGCAGATTAGGGCTTTCCTTGGGAGCCGTGTAGGGGGTGGAGGGAATGGAAGGGTGTCGGATGGGGAAGACGAAGGCGTTCTGTTTTTTTTTTTTTTTTTTTTTTTAATTTAATTTATTATTTTAATAATTTAAATTTTTTTAATGACATGTGGTGCCCAGTCGTTATCTACATGAGCGCCAAGCCATCAGTTAAGGGGAGACTTAACAGTTTGATTAACGAATGTACGAGACTATCCAAAAATTAACACTTTAGGTATGACTTTGGAACAAAAAAAACTTCATATACTAAATGTTGAAAACCACGAAAGTAAATTGATATTTACCCTAAAAATTATGATACAAATAGCGAAGACAGTAAATGTAGCACTTCGACGAAATTGAATGAATTCCAAAAAATTCACCACTTTTTTCATTTTTTTTTTTTTGAGTTTTTCAAATATTTCTGTGAAAATATCAAACATGTCGAAGATATTTCAAACACTAAGTATATTGTTAGATAGAGAGGTTTTTAGCATTTAATTCCCCCCGCCCCAAATGATAAAGATGCTAAGATTTACTAAAATGTGTGTCATGTACATTGGATGTGTTATGTATTCACATTGCTAAAATTAAAATTTACATTCACTTTGTGTAGCACCCGCATCATAAATATGACACCCGTTGAACGTACAATAATTGTTATTCATGAAATTTGAACTTGAAAACAAGCATTAGACAATTAATATCATAATTTTTACGTTTGTTATTTTGAAAATTTTCAGTAAAAAGGTAATAGTTTTTGGTAGTTATGGTGTTGAATGTTGCAGTCATATTTAGAATATGAATGTGATTGTGTAAATCCTAGTGTATCTAGGGATATTTTTAAATATTCCCCTTAATAGTTAACATCCTATTAGAGTTGTAATCTTAAAAGGGTAGGGATTTAAACTACCCAGTCTAAAACTGAGGTGCGACGAATTATAGATCTTCATAGCATTGCTCAAAGCATGCCAAATGCTTTTACTGATCTAGCTAAGGTGACAAGATCACATATACCTATTGCGAACGCACTTGCAAGGATAGACATACCTCGCGTACATCGTAATCCTGCCTGGTAAGGCTGGATCGTCCCCAAAGGTGGGGGGGGGGGGGGCGCACCTTCCACGCAGCCCGGAAACGTGGCAGACCCCTTGGCTCAAAGGATTCATAACCCCGAAAAAGGAATTGGCACCAACTAGTGACCCTAGTTTGAATCCGACCATTACTCACTCATCTGTTCCAACTCATGAAGTTATTCTAGATTACGGTGATGTCCTAAATGAGACAACCCAACCTCCTGAAAATCACGAGATTTCGGTCCACTACGCAATATTGGATGAGGTTTGGAATCGAAATGAGATGATCGTCAACGATGTATTTGTGTACACAGTAACTACTGACATCATGCTTAGCGATGACATTGAACCACATTTCGTTGATGAATGCATACATAGAACGGATTTGTCAAATTGGAAATAAACAATCCAGGTTAAACTCAATTTGCTTGCAAAACGTAAGGTGTTTGGATCTATAGCTCCTACCGCACCACATGTGAAGTCAGTGGGCTACAAGTGGGGTTTTCGTGAGGAAACGTAATGAGAATAATGAAATAGTGCGATACAAAGCATGCCTCGTAATGCAAGGCTTCTCTTAGCGCCCTGGGATTGATTACAATGAGACGTATTCCCCCGTAATGGACGTTGTAACGTTTCACTACCTAATCAGTTTGGTAGTTTCTGAAAAATTGAACATGCAGCTTATGAACGTGGTAACCGTGTAGCTCTATGGGGATCTAGATATGGAAATATACATGAAAGTCCTAGAAGGACTTCATTGACTGGTTCAAATAGTTCTAGACCATGGAACACTCTCTCGATTAGATTGAGGAGATCACTCTACGGATTGAAACAATCCAGGCTGATGTGGTATAATCATCTGAGTGAATATTTGACAAGTCAGGGTTATGTGAACAACGAATTATGCCCATGCGTGTTCATAAAAAAGTCACATTCCAGATTTGCGATCATTGCAGTTTATGTCGATGACATGAACCTTATTGGAACTCCGACAGAGCTTGAGGAAATTGCCGTTCACTTGAAATCAGAATTTGGGAAGAAAGATCTTGGGAAAACTCGATATTGTCTAGGCTGGAGATCGAGCATTGTTCGAATGAAATCCTAGTACATCAATCAAACTACACCTAAAAGGTGTTGTGACGTTTTAATGAGGACAAAGTGAAGTCTTCGAGTACTTCTATGGTCGTTCAGACTCTATATACTATACGAGATCCCATCCATCTAAAGGAGGATGAAGAAGATATTTTGGAGCCTGAAGTTCCATACCTAAGTGCAATTAAGGCTTTATTGTACTTGGCTCAATGCACTAGACCTGACACATCATTCGCTGTTAATCTTTTGGCTAGATATAACAATGTGCCCACACGCAGACATTAAATGGTGTTAAAGACATTTTCCTCTACCTCAAGGGTATGACGGATTTGAGCTTGTTCTACACCCACGAATCCTTAAGAGGTGCTGCCCCTTTCGGTACTCAGGTTGATTCCCGCCTTATTGGTTACGTAGATGCTGAATATCTGTCTGACCCACATAGGGCATGTTCTCAAATGGGCTATGTCTTTACCTTTGGAGACACCGTTACCAAGCAAATGCTAGTTGCAACCTCTTCAAACCATGCTGAGATTCTTGACCTACGTGAAGCATCGCTTTAGTGTTTTTGGTTATGAGCAGTCATGGAACATATTCGAAGCACCAGTGATCTTACTTCCATCGTTGACTTTCCTACGACGATCTTTGAAGACAATGCAGCATGTATCGAGCAATTAAAGAAGGGATCCATCAAGGGAGACAACACCAAGCACATAGCGCCGAAGTTCTTTTATTCTCACTAGCAACAACAGCATCAAAACATTGAAGTCAAGCAAATCCGTTCCCAAGACAACCTGGCTGATCTCTTTACCAAGTCATTGCCCAAGTTTACATTTCAGAAGCTCATCTAAGGAATTGATATGCGTAAATTATCTGAGTTGAATTGCTTGTAGTTCTCTACTTGGAAGTTATGTCTAACTCAGGGGGAGTATCCAGAAGCATACTCACTTGATCTTAATGTACTCATTTTTTTACGATTAGGAGCATTTTTCCCACTGAGTTTTTGCTACCCTACGAGGTTTTGATGAGGCACTTATCCTGGGATGATCATACTCCGTTGAGTTCACCACTTTCGTCCTGTTTGACGTTTGTTTTAGACATTATGCATACTTCTCACTTTTCTTCTTAGTCTATAAGTTTTTCTCCTACCTCAGGTTTTATCATAACGAGGTTTTGTGAGTTTTACTACCAATGCATACTTTCTTTAAATTTGAGACTCACATTCGCCCGTTGTGCTGCCAACTTCATCAACTGTTATACCTTATCTGCTGAAGATCTGATGTGATGTTTTGTTTGAGTATTTACACACTTAAGGGGGAATGTTGCAATCATATTTAGAATAGAAATGTGATTTTGTAAACCCTAATGTATCTAAGGATATCTTTGAATATTCCCTTTAGTAGTTAATATCCTATTAAAGTTGTAATCCTAAAAGAATAAGGATTTAACATATCCTACTACTATAAATAAAAGCACAATTAAATGATACAACACAAACTCTACAATTAAATCTCTCTCTTATTTATGCCGGCCTCCCCCTATAACAGTTTAGTTAAATAGGCCTACAACACTGAAGTGTTTTTTCTTCTTTTGATTAATTTTTTTAAGGGCTGTGAGATTTATTAGCTTATTGAGAGCAAATAAAAAATGAAATTTATGTCTTGAAAAACAACGAAAAAAGGTTACTGTGACAGAAAAAGAAATGGGAAAGTTTACCAAAAATAAGAAGAGGGGAGCTGATCCAGTTTTTACCAAAACAAGATCATGAACTGAGCCCTAAGAAAAAAATTAAATTAAAAATTACTTAAAGAAAGAAATATCCAAACACAAAGTTAAAAATTACTTAAAAAAAAAGAAAGTGATTTCCGCGCTTCCCTCCATTTTCGGCCTCAATGGTTACGGTCTTCGAACAAAATTCCAATTTGTACTTCAGTCACCCTTTAGTATACTCCACGACTGCGGCAACATATCATGCATCCTTTCTAGTAACATCCTTGTAAAATCTACTCATGTCCACACATCTGATTTGCCAAAAACTATATGAGGTCCATACGTTATACATTCCGCATGTTAGAAAAGTAGGTACGCCGCAAATTGTAGCCGTCAATCCATCGAGTTTTCGTGCAGCAGAACATACTCTCGGCTGCAAGAACCAAATTATAAGGATGATGTCAAAAAATGTGACATAAATATTAGCTGTACAGAATTGATTACAAATCATATGAAACGAACGAACAAATTTGAAGAGAGATATACAAAAGTTTTGCCCAATCAACCAACATAACCAAGGAAATCATCTTTCAGACTTGAAAATAAAGCCAACCAAGAAATTCGAATCACTTGGGACTTATAGCAGTTGTGTTTACTTGCAAACACAAAAGTGTGAATTTTTTACCGTTCTTGTGTTTCAAACTAGTTTTCCAGAGCTCTGGTTTGTCACCATGTGTGTCATTCTTAAACTGATTTCAATTAGTTTGACTGTTCATGAGAATTATAGTTGTTTCCTAATCGCCATACCCACCATCTACAAATAATAGAATGGGAAGGGGAATAGAAACCACTCCACGAAACAAATGCAACGTTGTAGCCAACTCCAATTATGAGATGATCTAACAACTTCACGAATCATTCAGTATGTTACAAGTTTTGAATTTAACAAGCATTACACAGACACACAGCGCATACTGAACCAAACAAAACTTATTGAGTTAAATTGGCTTATAAAACCAATTATTTCAACTTAATCCAAAAATAGTAACCTCCTAAATCAAACAAATTCAATTCAGTCATCCAACTGCAAGTATTGCTACAGTAATCAGTCAAGAAGAAAAAATTAAAACCAACATAAAGATAAGATAATATCTGGGAGACAATAATCCAAGCAAGCAAAGCTCTTATTAGATTATGATTAGTGACATACCTACTATTACCAAATTTGATTGTATCCTTTTCCATGAGTTCATAATATCGTTGGGGTTCGATTGCATTTTCCTGCAACGGCAAAGCAAATGTTAATACAAGTTCCGGCAAATACAGTAAAACCAAGCTTTCTCTATGCAACACAAATGCAAAAACTATTATTAATCGTAAAACAATATAATCTATTGAGCCACTTACATTGAGAAAAGTTTTATTTGTGCTTCCAAGATCCATCAAGTAAGGCCTATGGTGGTGCACACAAGAAGTTAGATATGAGATTTGAAAAATTCACTCTCAAATTAATGGAATTAACCGCAAGGTAACTTTGTCTTACCTTACTTCCTTTGATAACATACCATCTGGTTGCTCCTTTTCAACTTGGCTGGTATGACAAGAAAAATAAAATAAGATATTAGTTGCTAACCAAGAATGTAAATGACAAATATAGGACTGCAAAATTCTAGATTTACCGGTATTGTATAACAGCATGTTGCTTGCTGCAGGATGGGTGATCTGTAGGTATGTCTGCCACCCTTCTTTCCCTCCCAAAAAGGTAACAGCTTTGACGATGTATGTAAAGGGGGTCTGCAAATCATATATAAACATCTCAGAAACGAACCATAATTCAAGGAGAACTTTTTTTATCAACATAAAAAAAAATCCCCAAAGACATGGACGCAGAAAGCCCAGCAGAGAATATGGAAATGCCCACCTTGGGAATGGTAACCACTACACACCAATATGCTCACCTAAGTAATGGAACTTGACTGGTCTACTCAGTAATACAAAGTCAATAAAGTTTAAACAAAATATTGTGTTAAGAGCAATAAGATGCAAAAGCATCAAGAAAAACAGTTATCAGTATATTATATAGATTTATATTTTTCTCTTTTGGGCAGAAAACTAGCAATGTCTCAAAATATAAAATAAACTTCGAGGAGTAGTAAACACAGCAATGTACAACCACCATATGTGCAAAACTTGCAATTTATTACATTTTAACAAAAAGTCTGAAACAATCAAATATTTCTTGAACTGTCCAATATTCATTACTCACACCATTGCACCCAAGTCAATCACTGATTGGAACTTTAAAGATGTTTCCGTTTCGAGGAAAATAATTACTACAGGCTGCTGGTCTCAGATTTCAATGTTATCTGGAAAGTTAAATGTATGATAGAAGATACTGTATGGATATTAAGAACACACGACATCTACCTCCTCTTGAGCAAGAGCAATTATCCTTCTTCACATGGAACTAGTTCTCCCTACAAGTCTATGGCCACTTAATTAAAAAAAATGAAGATTGATGCCTCATGGTGGGTTTGCAGCCTGGATCTTAAGAAAATCAGAAAATCATTACTTTTCCCAAAAAGATTACTTTAATGAGACATGACACATTCGCTCCTTTGAAGCATTGTACATTTAAAAAGAAGAAACCCGTCAGTACTTAACAGCTCCCTCATTATCACTAGTCCTAACTCTAAGTGTGTCACCACTAACAAAGGACATGAAGGTCGCAAACAAGGCACAAGAACAAGTAGATAATTTACCTTTCAAAACTTCACCACCCTTGAAAACATAAAGCCGCCATCTCACAGTAGGTTTTCGTCCTTCTGGAGGCTCGGTGAATAATAGCGTTACACCTGACAAAGTAATAACCACATAAAAAAAATATAATTTTCGTTTTATTTGTTATAATAACAAACAAATAGAAATGCAAAATCTCTACAATTTCTATGTGCAAAATTTAGAGACAAATATTTGTAAATAGGATATAAGTAATAAGAAAATTTGGCATCCTTGTTATGTCAGGGGCTGTCATTTAGTTTCTCACTGAGACATATAGGTTCCCATATAAGTGATTTGGTTGTTATTTAGTTTCCTAGTGTGACCAACTTGTACTCTACTAAGCCCTATATGGGTTCTGAACTTCTAATTAGTGGATCTGTTTCTTCCCATTTTCAACACAAATATTTTCAAAACCATAAGATAGAAAAGTTCAAATTTCTGTATCAAACCCCAAAGAAATGGAGATCTCACCATTGACTCTATTGGTTTCCGCAGCAAGCTTCCCAGATAGCTCAAATGAAGGTTTTTGCTGCAAGTAGTAAAAAGAACAAAAGGTAAATACAACTGCAACTTTCCACACAATCAATCGAATAATATGCACTAAAATGATACTTGGAATTAAAAGAAGTAGGGTTATCTAACACAGCTTGCAACTGGAGCTCAAAATATTTAGCATGACTAGTAGAAAGTAAAAGATAGTTATGATTCAAGAAAGAATGCTATTTATGCATTACTTACCTTTTGCTTTGCTTCCAAGGCTTCCTCTGCAGCCTTCATCATTGCTACTGCATCATTCTCAGCATCCCTGCCCAAGAAAGCAACCAACCGCTCATCAAAATCTACACCCAGGCTTACTGACATCAAAATGCGAGCACTCAGTCTTTGAAAAAAATTGAATCAACAACGTCTAAAGTGTAGAACCTATGTTTAAGTGAAATCTAGCCTAGAAAATTAAAATACATGAAGGTTCACCCTTTTAAAATTAACAAACATTGGCTTCATATTTCTTCCATTGACCCCTGTATCTTAGTTATTATTAAGAAACTGACATGTTTTATTACTTTTACTACATCATGAAGGTTTACTCTTGTTAATTAAGAATGTATTGCTTTATTCACCTTTATCTCTTCTCAATCACCAAAACTAATAAGTAGAATGACTAAAAATACCAAAGTGCAACAAACAGAACATGAAAAGTTTTAACAGATCAACTCACCCTTGCTCAGCTCCTCTTGAATTTGGCACCTGAAGATATTTACCTCTGGTTAGATACTTTACATAAGAATCAATGCAAACCGAAGCAGAAATCAATTAAAAGCATCACAAGATATTATTCCACAATTAATGCCAAATAAATTAATGATTTTCCTTGTCAAACTAAAGTAATTAATGACTAACTGACTAATCTTTTGTGCTCTGCTTCATTAAAATAAGTCTTAAGACATACTGCCACTTCCACTTTTACACTCCTTGGTATGAGTTAATGGGTGGGCTAAGATTAAATGTTTTGAAATGGAAGTTACTGAAACATAAACCTATGCAAAAGAACCTCTGCCAATCTAGAAGCATCTTACTGAAAAAAAAATGAAATTAAAGAAGTAAAAATCTTCAAAGACGGAATAAAACTATCAGGGGAGGGGGGCTTAAGACATTTGAAGGTGTGGATATCACCAGACACCTCATCACGAATTCTGGTATTGGCAGCTTGTTGAGGTGAATGAGATCTATGTCTGTTCTTGTGGTGCCGATCTAATGGAGACGTAGACCGCCCATGTCTTGATCTTGAAGACCTGTGATCAGCACTGTCTTTTCCTGACTTTCTCTCCACTCTGTCACTCTCAGTTTCCCTATCTGAACCCTTTTCCGTTTGCATACTTCTAACACTTCCTCTGCCATGATTCCTTTCACGTTCTTTCTCAATTACTTTCTCCTCACCTCTAGTATCACTAGCAGGTTGAGGTGAGGAAGATCGATGCCTACTCCTGCGCTGTCGATCTGACGGTGAAGTATCATCTCTTCCCGACCGTCTCTCCTTTCTATTGCTCCCAACATCTCTCACTGAACCCCCTTCCTTTTGTAAATCCCTATCAGCTCCCCTCCCATTGTTCTTTTCAGGTTCTCTCTCAGCCTCTCTTTCAGCTTGAGCTCTTCTTAACCGTCTTGTTCGGGGAGAAGGAGAGCGACCAGGATGAGACGGTGACCTTGCATGCTTCGGAGACTTAGGGTGACTCGAATGTTTCTCTCTTGCTGGAGGACTACCCCTGTTGGACCTCCTATGTCGAGTAGGTGATCTTTCTATTTGAGATAGAATCTTCCTAGATGGGCTCCTCCTACGACGAGGAGACCCATGCTCTCCAACAGGAGATTCTTCTGAATGATTTGAAACGCTACGCCCCATCAATCAATTCGCAAATGCACAAGCGAACAATTCACCTGACTACGAAAAATTGACGCACGAAGTGGAATTCAGATAAAACAATAACAACAACAACAACACATTGCAAAAGCTCAAGGTCATGTACTGGTCTACTGTGCATCTATATCCCCATCACCCAACATTTGTTAGTGGAAATGCTAAATAAACAAATACAAAAATCAACCATAAATTATATTCTATACACAATTTTCAAATGGTGAAAATTTCAAATTACTAGTCCACAATGCCATATGCAACGGAAGAAAAGAAGTGCCCAGCAAGCACACAGGGTACACAAAAGAAAAACAATTTCACATAAACAAAATATCAAGACTGGAACTTTCAGTAGAGACATTTTATCAAACAGTTGGTGTGCACATTAGAGTTTATGATACAACGTCAGCGAACAGAAAATCAAATATGCAGGATACAGAAATGGAAGGTACGATTTGGGCAACATATTTTTTGAATTTCCCAACGGAGAACCAGAGAAAAGGTAGGGTTTTGCAATCAAACTTGTAAAAGGATTTTACTGAAGGAAAAATGAAAAGGGGAAAATCTACCAACCCGAGAGAGAGAGAGAGAGAGAGAGAGAGAGAGAGAGAGAGGCAGGCAGAGTCGTGCTTTCACCGTCGACGGCAATGGCGAGGCTGAAGCTTCTCAACGGAATGGTTGTCAGTGAAAAGCCTTGGCGTAAACCATTATCAATTGGAAACTGTGGAGAAGGAAATTGTATGATAACGATTAAATTTAAACCAGAAACCGGTGGAGCATCGGAATTCGGAAGTGAGTGGGAGAGTATGAGACCGTGCTAGCCGAGCCCTAATGAATATTATTGTATGCTGATTTATCTCTTTTTTTTTTTTTTTTTAATTCACAAATGATATTATCTAAACTAAAGAGTAAGAAGTGGGTTAAGTTTTACATATGTTAATAATAATGTTGTTTAAATTCGTGTTTAACAAGAATCAAACCTAAAATTATCATTATATCATAATACTAAGTGATTTTTTTTCTTTTCTTTTTATACTGTCCTTTTGATCCCATGTGACAATAGAATTTCTATATTTTTGAACTTTATTTTTTTTCAAAAAATATTTATAATTATTAAAATATTAGAGAGTTTTGAGTTTAAGGCATCGTTTGGTACTTGAGAAAAGAAGCTTGAGAATGGGAAACTGTTGCATTTCCCATGTTTGGTGACTGATAGAAAACTAGGGGAAAGTGAAACCCTCCACCCTCTTTGGTATTTAAGTAAATTACAGCAATGATATTTTAATTTTAGCTTAATTAGAACAATAGTTTTTCAACTAAAAATTTATTAATATTGGTCCCTCAACTCATTAAAACATGTAGTTATGGTCCTCAACTAAAAATGCATTACTATTGGTCCCTCAACTTTAATCCAACTAAAGAAATGGTTTCTCAACTTTAATCCAGTTGGAGCAATGATCTCTTAACTTTAATCTAATTGTAGCAATGATCCTTCCAACATAACTCATTTTGACAAAATTCTAATGAAGTTGACGAAAATGACCATAACTTAGAAATACCCCAATTGTAGCAATGGTCATTCCAATATAATTTAGAGGGACCCTAATTGTAACAATGGTCTGTAGACATCAAAATTTCGGTGAAATAAATGTTGACCAAAAATTAAAATTTCAACGCTCACGTATCACATAAATTTTACATGTAGCGTGTGACTAAACGAAAAATCGAAATAAATTGGAAAAGTCATCAAATAGGACACGTGTCAATACCTGGCAGAAATGATTTATTTCATCTGATTATTTAAATCCAAAAATCAAGTTTTGAAATTCTATAAATAGGAGGCCAAGGCATTCATTTTGAAGGAAGGAAAGAAGAAAGAAGGAAGAAAGAAGGAAGAAAGAAAGGAAGAAAGGAAGAAGCCTTGAAACTCTAAAGCTCTCAAGCAAATCCCGAAGGATCAAGAAAGCACTCTTCGTTCATCGTTCATCATCCATCAACCTTCAAGATCAAGCCCCAACGGCCCTTGAAGAACTTCCACCAACTCAAGATCAAGCCCCGACGGCCCCTTGAAGAAAGTGTTCATCGTTCATCATCCGTTCATCCTTCAAGATCAAGCCCCAACGCCCTTGAAGAACTTCCACCAACTCAAGATCAAGCCCCGACGGCCCCTTGAAGAAAGTGTTCATCGTTCATCATCCGTTCATCCTTCAAGATCAAGCCCCAACAGCCCTTGAAGAACTTCCACCAACTCAAGATCAAGCCTCGACGGCCCCTTGAAGAAAGTGTTCATCGCTCATCATCCGTTCATCTTAAGATCAAGCCCCAACGGCCCCTTTGGATCAACAACCTCAACAAATCCACACATCCAATCGTTCTTCAAGATTAAGCCCAAAAGCCCTTGAAGATCCGCTCATCCGTTCACCTTAAAGATCAAGCCCCAACGGTCCTTGAAGAACTTCCACCAACTCAAGATCAAGCCCCGACGGTCCTTGAGGAAAGTGTTCATCATTCATCATCCGTTCATCCTAAAGATCAAGCCCCAACGGCCCTTTGGATCAACAATTCATCCACAAACCTACACCCTTCGAAGATAGAATCAGAGGACCAAATTACAAAGAGATTGTAACCCCAAAATCATTAATACAAAAATATATTTTGTACACGTATTCTTATCGCTTGTTTCAGGAATTTCTCGTGTTTACAAATTTGGCACGCCCAGTGGGACAATCTCTACCTCTCATCTCTATCCTCAAATCATCAAAAAACGCAAATGGCATCAAGAAAGGATCAAGTTGTTCCTGCAATCAAAGCAAAAAACAAGAACATCATCGCCGCAAGTGGTGATATTTCGGGCATCATAACCCGAAGTAAGGCAAGAGATCTTTTGGCCGCGGCTTCCGCCCCTGCATTAACTCTGTCAAAGGAACAAGAGCACCTGAGGTACGAGCCTGTGATCACCCTGGCCTCGCTAAGGGCATCAAGGGGGGAAAGCCCGAGGAAATACTCAGAGTCCCTACTCTCCGACGCTGATTCGAGCGGCAGTACAACCATGCAAGTCATGACCACTGGAGCAACTTCAATCGAGGAGCAGCTAGCTCAGATGAATGAAGCAATAGCAAAGCTCACACGAACTGTGGAAGAGAAGGACTTGCAGATTGCCGCACTTGTCAACCAACTAGATGTGCTGCCCGACGTGAAAGTCGACCCAATTGTTGGCCTATTAAAGAAAGAAGGCGACGAAGAAGAGGAGCCTCCAGCAGAGAAAGTCGAAGAGAAGCTGAAACTAGACCAAGCAACGGCATCCATGGGATCTCTCTCTATCCAGCAACTACAGGAGATGATTGCAAACACTATCAAGACACAGTACGAAGGAAGCTCGCATAACTCCGTACTGTACTCAAAGCCTTACTCCAAGAAGATTGATGCTTTGAAGATGCCAAGGGGTTATCAACCCCCAAAATTCATGCAGTTCGATGGAAAAGGCAACCCGAAGCAACATGTCGCCCATTTCATTGAAACTTGCAACAATGCTGGGACAGAGGGAGACTACCTCGTCAAACAGTTCGTGCGTTCGCTGAAAAGTAACGCTCTTGACTGGTACACTGACCTCGAACCTGAGTCTATCAACAGTTGGGACCAGCTAGAAAGGGAATTCCTCAACCGTTTCTACAGCACTTGTCGTACTGTAAGCATGCTAGAGCTGACCAGTACGAAACAGTGGAGAGATGAACCTGTCGTCAACTACATAAATAGATGGCGCTCCTTAAGTCTGGATTGCAAAGATCGGTTTTCTGAAACCTCTGCCATTGAGATGTGCGTTCAAGGCATGCACTGGGGGTTACATTATATCCTCCAAGGCATAAAACCCAGAACATTCGAAGAGCTAGCAACTCGTTCCCACGACATGGAGCTGAGTATCGCTAATCACGGGAAAAAGGAGCCGATTACTAACTTCAATAAGGATAAAGTATTCGCCCCAAATGTAGACAAGACCGGGAAGAAGCCCGCTAAGGAAGCTTTCACCGTCAACACTACCCCCATCAAGACCTCCTCAGTGCCCATCAAGACCTCCTCAGCGCCCATCAAGATCTCCTCCAAGAAGAAAGCGAAGGAGATAAAGACAAGTGAGCCTCCTCGCACCCAAGACAGATACAAGAGCACCTTGAGAGAGTTGGAACAGAAAACGTACCCGTTTCCTGACTCTGACATGGCTGCCATGTTAGATGACTTGCTGGAAAAAAAGGTGATTGAGCTACCCGAATGCAAGCGTCCTGAAGAAATGAATCGCACAAACGATCCTAGGTACTGCAAGTACCATCGTATTGTAAGCCATCCTGTTGGCAAGTGCTTCGTTCTTAAAGAACTCATCATGAAGCTAGCGCAACAAGGGCAAATTGAGCTCGATCTTGAGGAAACGGCCGCAACGCATACCACTACAATTGCGTTTGGATCGTTTAATCCTGTGCCTCTCCAAACGACACCTGACCGTTCCCGTGAATGCTCAAGTTGCACGGCACCCCCTACACAACCATCACTGGAGAGAAGCGACCAAGATGCACATGTTGATAATGAAGAAGGATGGATATTGGTAACCTACAAAAAGACAAGGAAACCAAGACCACGAGTCATACAACCAAATGTGGAACAAAGAAGAAATCACCACGGCCGCAACAATGCGAAGCCTAAAAGAAGCATAAAGCATAATAAAACAACATATGCTAGGGAACCTATGGAGCAGAAGCCACGCATTCCCGTTTCCTTGCGTGAGTACTTCCCGAATGACTTTTTCCAACAGTGCACTACCGTGGCCTGTCACATGGTTGAAGTAGAAATAGAAGAGCCCTCAAAAGGCAAAGCTATCGCCACTGAGGTAGAAAAGACCCTCACACCTGAAGAAGGTCTGCCAACACACTTTAGCATCGAGGAAGCGCTACCATTGCCAAAAAGGATACGAAGAGCACTAGCAGCAGTCCTGGCAGGTCCCGACCACCACGAAGTGCGAGAAAGTAACGACGAAGGCTTGAAGCTTCAGCCACATGAATGTGCCACATGTTGTGCCACCCATGACACAATTAACTTCACTGACGAAGACCTACTGCTGGGATCAAAGCCTCACAACCGTCCTCTCTTCGTCTCAGGGTACGTAAGGGAATACAAAGTCAACCGCATGCTTGTGGATGGTGGGTCGGCCATAAACATCATGCCAAAATCAACAATGACCATAATCGGCATCAAGGTGAATGAACTATCCCTGAGCCGTCTGCTGATCCAGGGTTTTAACCAAGGAGGACAAAAGGCGATGGGCATGATCCGAGTAGAGATGACCATTGGTGAGCTCAAATCAAGCACGATATTCCACGTGATTGATGCAAGAACTTCCTACAGCTTGCTCTTAGGAAGACCTTGGATCCACGCAAATGGGGTAGTGTCGTCCACCCTTCACCAATGCCTAAAATTTTACCGAGAAGGGGTGAAGGTGATCCAAGGTGATACCAAGCCATTCACCGAAGCCGAATCACACTTTGCAGACGCCAAGTTCTACATGGATGAAGACATGGTACCTGAAGCCCTGCCGGAAGATATCAGATCCACGAGCAAAGCAGCACCTACAAAGCAGGAGTGGCAAGTCATCCCTAAAATGCAAAAAGAGCAGACTGTGCCATCTTCAAGCAAATACGATGACGAGTTTGCTAAACCTGCAACAACCAAAGGGAGTAGGACGCCGTCAGAAGGACCGAACGCACCCATATTTCGATATATCCCGATGTCAAGAAGAAAGAATGGTCAATCTCCATTCGAAACTGAAACAAGAAAAGTCGACACACAGTGGCACACGGATAATGTGAAGTTGCTCAAGACAAATGCAATTTTGCCTTTGACACAGCTAGGGGGTGCTAAGGTCGCAAGACTACCACAAGGCTTCATAAAAGCTCTACCAAAGAAGGTGGAATCAAGCTTTCTTCCAACCAAAAGGACCGAGGAAGGTTTCGACCCTAACGCCTACAAACTCATGTCAAAGGCCGGGTATGACTTCGCTTCTTTTGCGGTGGCTGGAAAGAAGGTTTCAAACACCGTCAATGACGAAGAACGTAACCTTACCAAAACTCAAAAGAAGTTGAAGGAGCATGGTTACGGAGTTGACAACAACAAAGCCGGACTTGGTTTCACACCAAATGCACCTGTGATGATTTCAAACAAAGCGAAAAACACTAGCGCTCAACACATCAGCGTGAGCATTGAACAAGACCAAGAAGAGCCTAAACCCTCCCCTCGGACGTCGGTCTTCGATAGGATGAGCCATTCAAGCTCCAGAACGTCAGTGTTTAATCGCATTGGTGGTCAAGACCAAACCTCTATCTTCAAGAGGCTTAACGCGCCAACATCCCAAAACTCTGTTTTTGAACGGTTGTTAAAGCTTAAGAAACAAAGCAGCACAGTTATCTCTCCTCTGCGACGATCAGCTTCAGAAAAATTTGAAGATAATGAGAAGCCTTTTGGAAAGAGGAAGACAACACCAAAGGAAGAAAAGCTCGATGGGTTAGGAGAAAAAGATGACGTTCGAAGCTTGATTCCTTCAAGGATGAAGCGCCAAGCAATCTTGGAGGTCGACACAAAGGGACCACTGAAAGTGAGAAGGCGTACTATCATCCACACCAGACAATCCTTATGCCAACAAGCTCAAGAAGACAGCACTGAAGAGGAGATCCAAGATGTTTTCCACATCACGGTTCAAGAAGGTAAAGAAAACGAAATCCCCGAGGAAGATGTCACTGCTGCACCACCACAGCTCGAAGACGGGGGGCAAGCCACGGTCGATGATCTCAAGGAACTCAACTTAGGTACAAGCAAGGAACCAAAGCCTATCTTCGTAAGTGCATTATTAAGTACAGATGAGATAGAGGAGTATTATCAGCTGTTGTTAGAGTACAAAGACGTCTTTGCTTGGACCTACAAAGAAATGCCCGGCCTGGACCCTATCATCGCTGTTCATCATCTTGCGGTCAAGCCTGAAACACGACCGATAAAGCAAACTCAAAGACGCTATCGATCTGAGCTTATCCCACAAATCGAGGTCGAGATCGACAAGCTAATCGAAGCAGGCTTTATTCGAGAAGTGCAATACCCCAAGTGGATCTCCAACATCGTCATTGTCCTTAAGAAATCAGGACAAATACGTGTTTGCGTAGACTTCCGGGACCTCAACGATGCTTGCCCAAATGACGACTTCCCCTTGCCAATCATTGAAATCATGGTGGATGCAACCACTGGCCATGAGGCATTATCATTCATGGATGGCTCTTCTGGGTACAATCAAATTCGCATGGCCCTCGAAGACGAGGAACTAACAGCCTTTCGTACTCCAAAAGGTATTTACTGCTACAAGGTGATGCCCTTTGGTCTAAAGAACGCTGGAGCTACGTATCAACGCGCAATGCAGAAAATCTTCAATGACATGCTACACAAAAACGTAGAATGTTACGTAGATGATGTGGTGGTTAAGACGAAGAAAAGATCAAACCACTTGAAGGATCTGCGAATAGTGTTCAAAAGGCTGCGAAAATACAACCTCAAGATGAACCCGTTAAAGTGTGCGTTTGGCGTCACCTCTGGAAAATTCCTCGGATTCATCGTCAAGCACCGTGGTATTGAAGTAGACCAATCAAAGATCAAGGCCATTCAAAGCATGCCCGAGCCAAGAAACCTGCACGAGCTGAAAAGTCTACAAGGACGGCTAGCCTTCATTAGACGCTTCATCTCCAACCTCGCAGGGCGTTGTCAACCGTTCAGTCGCCTTATGAAGAAAGATGTCCCATTCGTATGGGACAAAGCGTGCCATAATGCTTTTGAAAGCATAAAGAAATATTTGTCAAGTCCACCTGTCCTGGGGGCACCTGTGCCCGGGAAACCACTCATATTGTATATTGCTGCTCAGGAAAATTCAATCGGAGCACTCTTGGCACAAGAGAATGAATCCCAAAAAGAAGGAGCACTTTACTACCTCAGTCGGACTCTCACCGGCGCTGAGTTGAACTATTCCCCAATAGAAAAGATGTGCCTCGCTTTGGTGTTTGCCATTCAGAAACTCAGACATTACATGCATGCTTACACTATCCACTTGGTTGCTAAAGCCGACCCTGTCAAATACGTTATGTCTAAGCCAGTCTTGATGGAGCAACTCGCTAAATGGGCTTTGCTTCTTAATCAATATGAGATCATCTACGTCTCAGCTAAAGCTGTCAAGGGACAAGCGCTAGCAGACTTCCTTGCCGATCATCCAATCCCGGCTGATTGGAAAATCTCAGACGACTTGCCTGATGAAGAGGTGTTCTACATCAATATTTTTCCGACATGGACGATGTTCTTCGATGGATCCGCACGAGCAGACGGAGCGGGGGCAGGAGTAGTATTCATGACGCCACAAAGGCAAATACTACCTTACTCCTTCCAACTGAATGAGCTATGCTCCAACAATGTTGCTGAGTACCAAGCATTGATAATCGGGCTCCAAATGGCGATCAACATGGAAATCACAGCTCTTGAGGTGTATGGCGATTCCAAGCTCATAATCAATCAACTCTTAACTGAATATGAGGTGAGGAAAGATGATCTCGTCCCATACTTCCGGCTAGCGACCCAACTGCTACGAAAGTTCGAAGCTGTGACGCTGGAACATGTGCCAAGAAAGGAAAATCAAATGGCAGACGCTCTCGCCAATCTAGCCTCGAGTATGACACTAGGAAAAGATGAAGTAGCAGACGTGCCAGTTTGCCAAAGGTGGGTGATTCCGCTCGTTAATGAAATGTCACTAGATGATACAAATGTCATCTCAGTACTTTCAGTCGATGCTGAAGAGTGGAGACAGCCGCTGATCGACTACTTAGAGCACGGAAAGCTTCCAGATGATCTTAGACATCGTTCCGAAATACGTCGACGAGCACCTCGCTTCCTTTACTACAAAGGAACACTCTACCGACGCTCTTTTGAAGGAGTACTCCTGAGATGCCTAGGTGAGGAAGAAGTTAACCAAGCCATGGAAGAAGCACATTCAGGTGTGTGTGGGGCACATCAGTCTGGACCAAAGCTACATTTCCGGCTTAAAAGAATGGGTTACTACTGGCCAAGTATGGTGAAGGACTGCCTGGAACACGCCAAAAGGTGCCAAGCCTGCCAGTTCCACGCCAACTTCATACATCAACCGCCTGAACCATTACACCCTACAGTTGCTTCATGGCCGTTCGACGCATGGGGATTGGACGTTGTAGGACCAATTACGCCAAAGTCATCTGCAGGGGAAGCTTACATCCTAGCTGCAACAGATTACTTCTCCAAGTGGGCTGAAGCCATACCTTTAAGGGAAGTAAAAAAGGAAACTGTTGTTCGTTTCATCAAGGAGCATATCATCCACCGATATGGGGTGCCTCGCTACATTATCACTGACAACGGAAAGCAGTTCTCCAACCGACTCGTGGACGAGCTTTGCGACAAATACAAGTTCAAGCAGCACAAGTCTTCCATGTATCATGCTCCGGCCAACGGCCTGGCAGAGGCATTCAACAAGACGTTGTGCAACCTCCTGAAAAAGGTAATCGGCCGAACAAAGAGAGACTGGCATGAAAGAATAAGTGAAGCACTTTGGGCATATAGGACTACACATAGGACTTCTACCCGAGCTACACCTTATTCTCTTGTATATGGCGTAGAAGCTGTTCTACCGCTCGAAAGTCAAATCCCCTCACTAAGGATGGCTATACAAGAAGGCTTGACTGATGAAGAAAATGCAAAGTTGCGCCTTCAGGAGTTGGAAGCGCTGGATGAGAGAAGGCTCGAAGCTCAACAACACTTGGAATGCTACCAAGCACGGTTATCCAAGGCATTCAACAAGAAAATCCGCCCAAGGTCTTTCTAAGCCGGAGATCTCGTGCTGGCGTTGCGTAGGCCTATCATTACAACTCATAAGACAAAAAGCAAGTTCACATCAAAGTGGGATGGACCCTACGTGATACAAGAAATCTACACCAATGGCGCCTACTTAATCATGGCAGAAGACGGGTTAAGGATCAGCCCCATCAACGGCAGATTTTTGAAGCGCTACTACCCCTAAAGCAAACGCACCACGCTCCTGGGCCGCAAGAGCATAAACTGTGTACGGCAAAATCATCATCAAAACCATCACCCATTTGAACTACGTCATGACTTGATCCCTCCTCAACCAAGGGTACGTAGGCAACTTGAAACTTCAAAACTTCAAGTACAGTCACATCACCAACAAAAACACAAACACTTTGAAGAAAAAAAGCGAATTCAAACTATGAATACTTTATTTCTTTAAAGGAATGATTTGGTTACAAAGCCGTATTACAAGGGTGAGCATCACACCAACGTCACCACCGAGGAAAGTTGTGACCAAAAGACACTACACAGCATAAACTCGCTGCAGTCTTTTGCACAACCACACACGATAAAAGTGACACTTTGGGACAAGCTTCAAGTAGCAGTGGTAAAGAGCCCACGACAAGCAGTAAGGTCAATGTGCACAACAAAGTCACCGCCGAGGGAAAACCGTGACCAAAAGGCATTACACAGCAAAATCCCGCTGCAGTCTTTTGCACAACACCACATGGTAAAAAGTGGCGCACTGCAACAAGCACCAGGCAAAGAGTACAGTTGCACCCACATCTTGCTCACTCCGTCACCAATTCCAAATTCACAAGAAGCTGCCACCAATTGTGAACATGGGTAATCCGTCAAAAGGCAGCAAGGAAATTTGTGAATGCAGTAAGACCTGTAAAAAAAAAAAAAAAAAAAAAAATACATATGTTACTATGTATTAAAAAAAAAAAAAAATATATATATATATATATATATATATATATTCTCTACTCCAAAAAAAAAAAAAAATACATATGTTACTATGTATTAGAAAAAATATACATATTCTCTACTCGGAAAAAAAAAAAAAAAAAAAAAAAATCGAAACACGGTAAAAGGGGGGTTCACGGCAAAGCAAGCAAAAGTACTAGGTATAAATTTATTATTTATAATTTGTTCTTTGTCTTGGTATTGCTTCAGCTTTTTGCAGAGGAAGAGAAAGAAGACTTGGCTTTTCTTATTTTCACAAAAGCAAAGAAAAAGGTGAAAGTTCCACCATCGCAGCCATCAGAAGACACGGCTACTGCAGCAATCACTACCGCCAGTGTTAACCTCCCCAGGGACAATGCAGCAGTTCCTCCACTTCAGGTTTGACACCTTGCACTACCTCGAGCTCGTCATTCTGGCCACCATGATCAAAATCAACGAAGAGCTTCATTGACCGCTGTCAAACGACTAGCCGGTCTTCAAACTCGACGCCTTACACTCTGCCTCAAGATCTGACTATTTCTGCACCTCCACCGTGGCTGCTGCCTTTGAATGTGATCAACAAAATCAAAGTTTGTCAACTCACACCCAAAGATCTCATCCGTCTGCTGGCCTCTGCTGCTGCCTCTGAATGTGATCAACAAAATCAAAGTTTGTCAACTCACACCCAAAGATCTCATCCGTCTGCTTGCCTCTGCTGCTGCCTTTGAATGTGCTTGACAAAATCAAAGTCTGTCAACTCACACCCAAAGATCTCATCCGTCTGTTTGCCTCTGCTGCTGCCTTTGAATGTGCTTGACAAAATCAAAGTTTGTCAACTCACACCCAAAGATCCTCCGCATTCTCTCTCTCGGACTTGGCCTGGGTTTTCACCCACAGCCTCTTCCTTCTTCATCACCAGAGGTCCTTTATATAGAAAAAAAAACGACAATGTAGAACAAGAAATAATAAAATAAAGTAAAATGAAATGATGATGTTGGGAAGTAATGATGAAAGTAAAGAATAAAAAAATAAAAAAATAAAAAAATAAAAAAAATATAAAAATAAAAAGCAACTCTGGTGGATCAATCCACCGAAAGAAGAAAAAAGAATAATAATAAAAAAATATATAAAATAATAAAATAATAAAAAATAATAAAATAAAGTAAAATGAAATGATGATGTTGGGAAGTAATGATGAAAGTTAAAAAAAAAAAAAAAAAAAAAAAAACTATGGTGGATCTGTGCCACCGGAAAAAAAAAAAAAAAAAATATCTTGGTGATGTACATGTTTTCTCTGTATTTAGCACAATACACTAAATAAAACGAAGTATGTTCATTGATTTTCGAAAAATTACAAGTGCGAAAAAAAAAAAAAAAAAAAAAGTGTCTAACAAAGAAAGAGAAAAATGGAGCCTTCACAAAGGTTATTCACGTGAAGCCCCACTACTCGGCCAAACTCCAGGAGCGGGAAGCACCGAAGATAGATCATTCGAGGCCCCAACACTTGGTGGAACGCTTGATGACGCCGGAAAAATGTGCCTCTGGAAGAAAGACGCAAGCCTTTGACGGTCACTTTGAATGCGACCTTGAGATTCTTGCATCTCGTCAAGCTTCCTCTTCATGCCCGACGAATAGTTATTTGCAAGCACATGCAAACTTCTATTCTCGTACTTAAGTTGTTTAATCTCCTGCTTAAGATCTTCCACCTCTGCCATCAATGATTCCACTTGACGGGACCGAGCAAGCAGGCGTTGGCCTATGTTGGACACAGAGCCCGCACACTGAACACTAAGAGCGAGGGACTCTTGAACGGCCAACTCATCGGACCGTCCTGACAGCAGCCTACTATCTTTTGGAGTAAGGAGGTTCCTAGCTACTATTGTAGCTGTTGTGGCGTCCTGCATCACGGAGTCTTCACCTGTAAGAGGACCGTTAGAAGATAAGAAAGAAGGACACCATACATTACCTTGAAGCGGCGCAACCGGATCACTGCTGAGACTCAATTCTAAGCTAAGGTTCGATGGGTTAGCCATTTTTCAAAGGTGTTAAAAGAGATGGGTGGATGGAGTTAAAACTCAAAAGGCCGGAGATGATTTTCAGGAATGAGCAACCTTCAAAGTATGCATGTTACAGGTAATCAATACCTCTATAAAAGAGGCGCTTGCTCAGAAATCAAAGAGGCGTTGGTTCAGAAATCGAAGGGCCGCTTATTCAAAAGTGAAGAGACATTGCTCTGCAAATCTCAAAAGCTGGATTTTCCGGCGTAAGTTAGGCGACGCTTTCTCGGCTTTCCAGAAAACGCGTTCAACTTTGTCAAAAGATCTCCGATAAAGTTGAAAACACGTGGAGGCTGGCGACGCTTTCGCGGCTTTTCAGAGCACGGGTGCCACTTTGTCAAAAGATCACGTGGAGGTCATCATCGCAGCTACACATCTTTAGCTGACAAGCTCAAAATTCGGCGACGCTTTCTCTGCTTTTCAGAAAACGCGTGCCACTTTGTCAAAAGAGACGCTCGTTCAGAAATCGAAGAGACGTCGTTCAGAAATCAAAGAGGCGTATTCAAAGATCGAAGAGTCGTCACTATTTCACAAAGCCGGATTTGCGGGATCAAAACGTTTGTCGACAAAGGTAAAAGAACAGTACCACCACTTGCTATTGGGAAATCCCTATATATGTCGACCTTCATCTTTTATGGCAAGACAAACCTGCAAACAAGAAAAAAAATGCCCAACTCTTCCTCACCTCCGAGAGTACACTCCCAGCAAAGCATCTCAAAATGCTCAGTTTTCTTCCTCTCTGGGAATACCCTTGCAAACAAATGACACCAAGGCAAAAGTATCTCATATCATCAAGGGCGAAAGCAAAGGTATCTCATATCATGCTTTTCCCCTATCTTTTCCTTTGCCCTTGTTCTCATCTGCCAGGACAAGGACAGAGAAAACAATATGTCGGAACCTCCACTCAAACTTGCGCTGCCACCAAGAAGTGATGGTCCATTCAAATGCAAGATTTGCATTCAACTCCTGCATCAGGAACAAATAGTACAAGAGAAGATGCTAAACCTGCATAAGGAAATACCACTTCTGCAAAGGGGAGCAAGTAAGGCAAGTGAAAATGATGCATTGAAGCATGTGGAGACAAGCTACAACTGCATATGCTGAGCTATCCTCTAACCCTCTTCAATACGAATTGGAGAGATTGAACAAAGAAACAGAAAAAAAAGAGTAAGCTCAGACCTTCGGGGAAGACCAAAAGAATCCTGCTGCCCAGTTTAAGAGTAGCACAAAGGAAAATCAACGATAGGGGGAGACCAAAAGAATCCTCCAGCCCAGTTCAAGATCAAGCCTCGATGGCCCTTGAAGAAATCACAAGTCCGATTCAAAATCAAGTGTTCACCACCCTTGAATCAAATTCAACTCCAGATAAAAGGAGTAAGTTCAGACCTTCGGAGGAGACCAAAAGAATCTTCCAGCCCAGTTCAAGATTAAGCCTGCGGAAAATCAACGATTGGAGGAAACCAGAAAATCTTCCAGTCTAACTTAAGATCAAGCCTCGATGACCCTTGAAGAAATCTCCAGCTCAATTCAAGATCAAGCCTCGACGGCCCTTGGGTTGACATCTACATTAAGGGACTTCAAAACGCATCTTCTACACGTGACAAGCACATGTCTACGACACGCCTTGAAGTAGGGGCATTTGTAGACATCAAAATTTCGGTGAAATAAATGTTGACCAAAAATTAAAATTTCAACGCTCACGTATCACATAAATTTTACATGTAGCGTGTGACTCAACGAAAAATCGAAATAAATTGGAAAAGTCATCAAATAGGACACGTGTCAATACCTGGCAGAAATGATTTATTTCATCTGATTATTTAAATCCAAAAATCAAGTTTTGGAATTCTATAAATAGGAGGCCAAGGCATTCATTTTGAAGGAAGGAAAGAAGAAAGAAGGAAAAAAGAAGGAAGAAAGAAAGGAAGAAAGGAAGAAGCCTTGAAACTCTAAAGCTCTCAAGCAAATCCCGAAGGATCAAGAAAGCACTCTTCGTTCATCGTTCATCATCCATCAACCTTCAAGATCAAGCCCCAACGGCCCTTGAAGAACTTCCACCAACTCAAGATCAAGCCCCGATGGCCCCTTGAAGAAAGTGTTCATCGTTCATCATCCGTTCATCCTTCAAGATCAAGCCCCAACGCCCTTGAAGAACTTCCACCAACTCAAGATCAAGCCCCGACGGCCCCTTGAAGAAAGTGTTCATCGTTCATCATCCGTTCATCCTTCAAGATCAAGCCCCAACAGCCCTTGAAGAACTTCCACCAACTCAAGATCAAGCCTCGACGGCCCCTTGAAGAAAGTGTTCATCGCTCATCATCCGTTCATCCTAAGATCAAGCCCCAACGGCCCCTTTGGATCAACAACCTCAACAAATCCACACATCCAATCGTTCTTCAAGATTAAGCCCAAAAGCCCTTGAAGATCCGCTCATCCGTTCACCTTAAAGATCAAGCCCCAACGGCCCTTGAAGAACTTCCACCAACTCAAGATCAAGCCCCGACGGTCCTTGAGGAAAGTGTTCATCATTCATCATCCGTTCATCCTAAAGATCAAGCCCCAACGGCCCTTTGGATCAACAATTCATCCACAAACCTACACCCTTCGAAGATAGAATCAGAGGACCAAATTACAAAGAGATTGTAACCCCAAAATCATTAATACAAAAATATATTTTGTACACGTATTCTTGTCGCTTGTTTCAGGAATTTCTCGTGTTTACATGGTCATTCCAATATAACTTATTTTGACAAAATTCTAACAAAGTTGACGAAAAAGACCATAGCTACACATTTAGATGAGTCAAGGAATCAATGGTAATGCATTTTTAGTTGAGAAACTATTGTTACAATTTGATTAAAGTTGAAAGATTATTGTTACAATTTACTTTTGCTATTCACTTTCTTTGAGGATAAAAAGGCATTAATTGTCCCATTTTTTTTCTTTTTATGACAAATATATCCTATTAACATTAACGAATGCTAATTATATCCGCAAAAAGTAGTACTTTTCTACCTAATTTTTCATCGTAACCAACCGAGGAAAGAAATTTTGCATTTTCCTTCCCCGAGGAAGAGACATGGGAAATCATTTGCTGTGAGTTCATTTTCGCGTACTAAATGCGGCCTAATTATGAAAATTTAGATAAGGGGTTTCCATAAAAAAAAAAAAAAAAAAATTTAAAGATCAAAGGGTCTAGTAGTCTTCTTATTGAAAGCGTTTTAATCTAGATCAATGTAGCTCCAATTCTAAATCGTACCAATTTGTGATTGAGCCAACATTAGAGTATGTCAAGTTGATGTTGTTTTAAAAGCATTTTGAACTGTTTATCTATTTGTTACAATTGATTGACTAAAAGATTTTAGTTTTAACTGGTTTTATTTTATTTTATAGAGATGACCTTTACAAAGTTACTTATAATATGAACAATTTCGATCATAAGCACGAAGTTCTGTGAAAAATCCATAAAGTATTTTGAGGACGAAGTTCTTCTCAACCTTAAGGAGCCAATATCTTCTCTTTTAAATTTAAGTACCAAAGCTTCAATTGACTTAAACTTTAGACACCATTACTCCAATTTCTCTATATAAATTAATGAGTTGGGATTTTATTTTATTTTTTGAGAAGTTAATGAGTTGGGATTTAGATTTTCTAGAAGAAAATGAGGGGGAGAAATTAAGAGCAGGGACAGATTGATCTAGGTGTTGGATTCTGTTTAAATGAATTAACGGTCTGAGGTCTATCGACCAATATTTTCCAAAGGTTTTTTCAACAAGCGATAAAATATTACACTAAATTAAATAATTAATACGCTCCATAGTTTGATTAAACCCACGTCTGCATATTTTCCAAGTTTGATAAACCTATTTTATTATATATTTACCAAAATTAGATCGATGTCAACCATTAAGGGGTGGTTTAGTTGTTGGAGACGAATTTTAGGCCTGTATTTCACTACGGTAGGTTCTGTGTTCGATTTTTTACACTGGTGAATCACACGATGGTACCCAGAAAAAGCTTAAATGTCTCTTTGAGCTTTCCCAGCCGTCGGAAGTGTGGACTGCCATGGCAAAACCATCAGTTGATTCCCTTTAATAAAGAAAAATAATAATTAGGTCGATGTCAAAATTACTAGCCTAACAATCCGGTATCCATTGCAGTCCACTTTGTTGCTCTTCCAAAAATCAACGAATTGTGTTGAGTCATTTAATTAATGCTGTTAAATTTTAGTGTTTAACTAAAATGTTTTGGCTAAACGAATTTTGATTTGGTTGATTGTGAAGATGGATTTTTAGTGTAACTTAAAAATGAACACTCCTAATCATGAGACTACATGATAGGATGGGAAATTTGGCTAACATTCCTCCTTTGTCTGTCCAACTCGTAGTCTCCAAGTTTATGCTGTCCAAATGAAAAAGGTCTCCAAATTTTTTTTGCTTTGCATTTGCCATTTAGCGAAAACTAGCTTCTTATTTTATTTTAAAATTTAATAAAAAATCATCATTTAGACAACATGCACGATTTAAATTAAAATGCACAGTCACAGGAATTTTGTAGCAAAGATGATTAAAAGCACTCACTCTAGCAACCGATGTCCCAAATTTGAATCTCTCTCTCAATTATAGCAAGAAATAAAAAATAAAAAAAAAATCACTGTCCATATTTCATTGATGCAAGCATGTGATAATATAGACTAATGTATGATGAATTTCACATGTTTATCTAATTGTTTTAGCGCGAAAGACCGTTAAATTCGTTATCATTCCAAATTCAAAATAATAGTTATTTTTGTGACAGCCGTTATGAATATAAAGAACTTGTCATATAAACTTGGATTAGTTTCTATTATTATTGAACGTTTCCTAATCTTCCTCCAATTACTTCGTTTTTTTCAACATACAAATCACCTAGACAACACGTTACACACGCCATTGAACCCAACTCACGGTGTCTCCTGTCTCCATATAACACCCCCTCCTCCGTCGTCTCCCAGCATCAAACAGGCACACAACTTGAGCCAACCTCGAATCGGTGCCTCAAACGATCCTCTCCTATAAGATCATCCCAGTCCCTTCCAACTTTTTTCAGTTCAATCCCGCCACCCTAAAAGCCAAAAACACAACCATGGACCGCCTCTCAAACCTCCCTAATCACATCCTCTCAGACATACTCTCCTTCGTGCCCTTCAAAGAAGCGGCAAAAACCTCCACCTTGTCCAAGCATTGGCACCACCAATGGCAGTCAACCCGAAACCTCGACTTCAACCACCTTTACTTCGCCAACCGTGATTCTAACGGAGATGTCCAACTCCAACCACAAATCTTCATCGATTTCGTCCAACAATTTGTTGCAAACAACAAAAGTCCCATCATAGACAAAATGTCCCTCACATTTTCTCAGCCGGGAGACTTCCAAGAAATGGTGGAAAAATGCATCACATTTTCTGTCGACCGCAAAGTCAAACACCTGAAGCTTGATTTCTCCGACCCCACATGGGATGAAAACGACCTTGATGGCCTGGCACATCCAATGTTCGATTTGCCTCAGTCCTTTTACAACCATCAAGTTCTTGAATCTGTGACTCTCTTTTCTTGCAAATTTGACGTTTTCGGATTCAAGAATTTCGGGTTGCTGAAGAGCATTTCGTTGGGTTGGATCGAACTCAAAGTTTCTACTGTCAAGGCTTTGCTGGCCAACTGTGCGTGTCTCGAGAGTTTGAGCGTGAAGAGTTGCTGGGACATGGACAGCCTTTCTGTTTGTGGGAAGGACTTGAAGTTGTCAAGTTTGCTTGTTGAAAAGTGCCATTTTCTGGATCCGTCCTTTGAAATCGGGGCTCCAAATCTCAAATATATGAAGTATTGTGGCACTGTGGTTTTATTTACTGTGAATGGAACTAGCTTGGAGGAGGCAGACCTTGATTTTGGACCTGAGTTTGAATGTGACGAATCGTTGGGAGATTCTCTCTATCAATCACTCAATGGAATTTGCCCTACGAGGGCTTTGACCGTTTGCACTTACATGCTTCAGGTACTTCATTTCACTCTTCAACTTTTTAATTTTACATCTGTATAATATATGGTGATAACCCTAAACCCTAAATAGGAAAAAGCTATATAGTGTTCATCATTTATCTAAATAAGTTATATTTGCGTTTGTGTGGAATTTGATTAAATTTTTGTAAGATTGCAACTTGGTCCAAGGAGAAAAGAGTGTCCCAAAATAACATTATGACTTAAGGCTATAAATATGAAATCTTTTTTCTTTAACCGTGAGTATGCTTCTCTCCTAATTAATTAAAGGTTGGTTTTATAGTTAATTTGTGGATTTTGCAGGTTATTCCCATGGGAGAGGAACCAACTGGTATGGAACCAAGGTTGAATGTTACACACTTGACCTTAAGAACTGCCATGCACAACTATGAACAAGGTGGCATCCGGTTTTTCTTGAATAGTTGTCCTCGCTTGGAGACTCTTACAATCGACATAGACCGATCACGCAGAATATGCAATGTGAGTACTCGTTGACTAATTACTAACGAATCCTTCTAATTAACTGCTTAACACTAACTAATACTGTGTAATTCTTATGTTTGTTGCATCCATCTCTTCAGGAATATAGACCCCCATTCGAGGATAAGTTTGAGGATTTGTGGAGGAGCAGTGCGATAATTTTCCGGTGCATAACTCAAACTTTGAGGAAAGTTGAGATCAAGGGCTTCAAGGGGACGCCAAATGAAGTCTATATAATGCTTTATCTTGTCAACCATGCTCGTGTGATGGAGAAGCTCACTGTGATCACCTCAAGTGAAGAAAGCAATAACCGCGGCCCAGAAACTTTTCGAAGTATAGCTGAACAAGTGTACGGTTTTAGAAAAGCATCGGAGAATCTGGCCATAGAAATTGTTTAATGATTTAAATAATAGTCTTATAGATACTGAAGTTCGAAGCTAGCTTTTAATTCGAATATGTTGTGAACCCAAATAAAATATCAAAGATTGTGACTACAATTTATACTTGAGAGCAGTTGTGCTCAATCCGTGATGTCATTTTTATTCAACAATTGGTGTCATGATGATTTGTAAACCCTAATTTGAAACATTTTGTGTGTTTGGATTTTTTTCTTTTTACTTTTTTTTTTTTTTTGGAAACTGGATTTTTTTTCTTTTTGATACATATTTGAAGACCAAAAGCTTGAGCTCACAAAAAACGAGCCAAGATGAAACCGAACTTAGTACACTTTGAAGACTCTTGATCCATTGGACAAAAGGTGGCATAATACGGGTCAATGTTTTCCTTTAAACTAAAATCTGCCTGGCAAAGTTTACTTTACCTGTCTAAAGTTTTTGTTGCCTAAAGTCTCCGAAAAAAATCAAAATGTTGACCATTTTTATCCAACCTTTTTTTTGTTTTTGTTTTATTATTATTTTTTTTTTGGGGATGAAGTTATTTTACACGACAAAATTTTGTTCATCAGGCCAAACTGTCATAGGACAAATAGTAATTTCTCGTAGTGTAAACTCATCTTAAGGGGAATGTAGTTATCCATATAGATATAGATAATGCAAGGAGACTAAATTTCTAGACTATATTTTGTAAACTCAATGTCAAGAATGTTGACGATTGAATTATTACTTAAGTGTTGATAAACGAACTTATTTTTTGGGATGAAAAGGGTTTGGGTTGAGTTTGTTTTAACCAAAAATCATCTTATAACTTTAATGAAAATGGCTTAAACTTTAATGAAAATGACTTAAATTTTAATGAAAATGACAAAAGTTTAATATAATAAAAAATAAAATAGAAAAAAGTAATTAAAAACTGACGTGTTGGTCGCAACGCCTCCATCATGCACTATTTCCAAAATTGAACGGTACTACATTGTTTTTTAAACTAAACCGTATTACACTATTTCTGAAAATGAATAGTACGACCCTAGTTCTAAAATTGAACACTTTCTGAAATTGAACACTAATTATTTTTTAAATAAATATGAGCATTACATTATTTTGAAATTGAAAATCAGTAATACAGTATTTGTATTATTGAACATTGGCACTACTTTTGAAATTAAATGCAGGTTGGCATGCACTGACTATTTCTTAAACTGAACATGGTATCTCTCCGGGAAGTCTAACGACCATTTTTCTCTCATCTTTTTAAATTTTCTCGGCACTTTCTCACCATCCAAACACCTTTTATTCTTCTAATTTTCTTTAATTCTCATCAAAAAAATATTTATTGAATTTTGTAACTGCTTCATGTGAACTATATATCAACGTTCCAACAAAAATACTTGTATGCACCAAAAACCCCAGGTTCGGCGAGGTAAATGTATTAAAAAGGGACAAATTTTAGTAGATGGTGCTGCTACGGTTGGCGGCGAACTCGTTTTGGGAAAAAACGTATTAGTAGCTTATATGCCATGGGAAGGTTACAATTCTGAAGATGTGGTACTCATTACACTAGTAGAAAAACATGTTTGCGCGACCTAAAAGACAAGGCGTCGCACAAACAGCCTTTGCGTGACGGTAATTTGCGCGACGAAATTCTAGCGTCGCGCAAAACCTCTTTGCGCGACCCAGGAACTTGTGCGTCACGCAAAACACTTTGCATGACGCCAGCATTCGTCGCGCAAAGTACCGTCGCGCAAACTCCGTTTGTGCGACGTTTTGTACGTTGCGCAATATCTTGGCGCCAAACATAGAATGTTTTACCGCTTTTTTTGCCAACTTTGCGCGACGCATGTGCACATGCGTCGCGCAAAGTTGTTTTGCGCGACGCATGTGCAAGTGCGTCGCTCAAAGTCAACGACTTTTCCTACTCCACTTAATCAGTTTTGGCGGTGCAATAGTAAAAAAAAGGCTTTTTTTTTTTTTCAAATTTCAAATTTTATTTCCCTTCTAAGTTTGGATGCTCATCTTTCATCCCTCACTTTGTCCAAGTTTGGACGCTCAACTCAAATCTTTCATCCCTCAAATCTCAGACCCTCCTCACCTCTCATCCCTCAAATCTCAGACCCTCCTCGAACTCATTCTCTCTCTCAGTCTCGCAGACAAGTGACTCACCTCTCATCCCTCACTTCCTGCCACATCGCTGATTTCTTTTTCGATCTCACTATTCATCGATTCTCCCCCAAATCAGGTAAATTTTGGAATTAATTTAGGGTTTATGAAATTTAGCACTTGGAAGATAGAGTATATTGTATATTCCTCCATGGACTTGTTTGTGCTAAATTGTTGTCCCTAACCTGTTTGACGAAATGCCTCAACAGCTTTGATTAAGTTGGATTATTCCTCCATGGATTTTTATTAACTTGTTTGTGCTAAATTATTACGTATCAAAGAAATTAAAATTTTCTGGCTTGCCGTAGAACCCTGGTTATGCAAGATGAGGAGTATGCTGGTGCTCAGGGGTGCACGGTGGTAGAATCGCAAGGGATTGAGATAGAACTGCTCTGTTGCCACGGTAGCTGGGGAGGTCTCTGGAGCTGCACAGCGGTCTGATGATGAGAGGGTGTACTGGCGGAGTGTAGTTTGTAAGTACTGATAAATTGCTTGGTTCTGCTTCTGGGGTGGTGGTTGTGTTGATTGAAAGTTCCTGATTGGATATCAAATTTATTGCTTCTTTAGGTTACATAGTCTTGTTTGGCATGTTTGCAATTGTGCTTGCTGCTAGCTGGAGTTTCTTGATTATTTATATTTTTCCACCCAATTGCCACATCACTAAGTTACTATGAGAACTCCTGCTTGAGTTGGATTGCATGAAGTTTCTGCATTTCACTTGTGCAACATATGTAATTGTCATCAGCTTCTGATTATTTCCTTTTCTTTTTTTTATTCTACTGATTGGTAACATATATCTGATGGGGTATGTATGATATTACGTTGCATGCTTGCAATAATTGCATGTGTATAATTAACTGATGAATTGTATCACTTATTTCGGAACAAAATTAAACTTCAAGAGAAGGGATTGATGAAACCCAGTGATGACGTTTAATGAATTTGTCTAGCTATTTTTGAATTTAATAGCTAGGGTATTGGATTACTTATTTTCAAATTAAACTTGAATTACTGTTTCGAATGTGTGTTGGGGAATAAGTAAGAGACATTCTTGGTATATAATAAGAGGAATGTACCAGTTTGTGTATAGCAACTAATCTTGACGACTATAATCAGTTTCTAAATTTGCATTGATTTTCCTTTAGAAATCAAGGTTTGATGGTCATCATTTTAATTATTCAGTAAGAGGACTATAGCCACTTTCTATTTACAGCCAGAGAGTTTTAATTTTTGCTTTCTGTTTTGTGCATATTCTTGCCTTTGCTTGCTGTATCCTCATTGGCATAAATCTTGTAGTAATTCCAGATGATATTGTTGGGTTCTGCACTTCATTTTTTTTTGCGATAAATTACCGTTACTGATTATCATGTCTTTCACCACATCGTGCGGTATTCGCACAAAAGTCCAGATAACTCCCACGAACCCAACGATATGTTTACTAACCCGGAATGGGAGTGGCGCGGAGAGGAGTCATTCCCATTTCAGAAAGAGAAAAACAAATCCCATCAACTGCACAACTTAAGTTGCATCCAACGTGTGCATAGCTGCATGCCAACATAACCATTACCCTAAATTGCTACATAACCATACTTTACTAAACTGTTCAGCCAGATTTGACCATCATATTCAGTACTGTCATGGGAAAACAGTTTTGAAATGGATATGAATAGGTTTCTCATGATTTTGGGCCATCCCATTTCTTTTTGCCTATCATTTTTCTCTAATGGACCAAGTGGGTGGTACATGTATTGACGCATTGACTCTCCGTAAGGTCAGATTTGAAAGCTGATGCTTGTGATGGAAATGGTGATGAATTTGAAATGTTAGTTTTGATGTTTAAGTTAGATTGGACTCTCATATATCTTCCAGTTTTATCATTTCCCATTTCTCACAAAACACACAGTTTTTAAAATATGTTTGTCTTGGGGTTTGGATCCAAGGGCTGTAGTGGTTGTGTCGGGCTCTGATCTAGGAGCCACAGCAAGGGACACACCTGACATGTCTTTTTCTTTATCGAGATGTCAATAAATTTTGTTGTCAAAAGGTGATTAATTGGGTACTAATCAACCTAGCTAGATAATACAAGGGTTAGATGTGATTAGTTTTAATTTAATGTTACTTTTCCTTCCAATACTAGTCGCTTCGATTTAATACATGTGTAGGTCTGTCACAAATTTTTTTGGATCACTAAAGACAACATATGCCTAGTTGAAGAGATCTCAAGTTCGAAAACCTCCAGCTTCATTGACAAAGAAAAAAACAGTCAAAGGTTAATAGTTGGGGAAATCATTTCTACACGCTAATCTTCATTCACATTCTGTTTATTTTTTAGCTTTGGATCAAATAAAGCAAATGTGAATCAAGGTACAATTTTAGGGATCGTTTGAAAGTACTTTTAAAATGACTGAAAGTGTTTTTGATGAAATTGATTTTGAGTTCCAAAAGTACTTTAAAAATACTTTCAGTTATAGGTTATTTGAATATGTACCCCATCGTTTCCTGGTTTCCTACATTGTGCTTAGTTAATACATTGTATAATTACAATCGCATTTTCCTTTTCTAGGATCACAATTGCATTTGAGAAATATGATAAGGTTGAAAACTGTAAGAGAAATATTGATGCTCCAGGGTTATAATCCTTCTTGAAAGCTTGATGTGAGTTTTTCTGTTGCATTTACCTTGTCATGAAACCCACGACATTATCTGTTGCATTTAAGAAAAATGTTGTAGGATTAGTTTCTAATGTTATATTTTTATGGTTGAATAAGTGTATAGATGTCGCAGTTGATCACTCGTCGTCGGAGTGTGACCAATGCACCTCCTGCATTATCAGCATCTACGACTCC